ATTTATTTATTTTCTTTATGGACATATAATACATAAATATAGCAACCATTTGATAATACATTCGCTTATCCTGTTTCTATGTGATAAATCTTGCAACGTAGACTTCAAAACATGTATAGCACTATTAAGTGGGTGTTTGGGATTGTTTAATAAAATAACTTATTGACTTATTCCGGTGTGGTACCGGTAATAAGCAATTTTGAGTGTTTGGATAAACAACTTATACCGGTGTCAAACAGATAATAAAAAGTTTTTAAAGAAGTTAAATACTTCTAACTTATAATAAGTTGATTAGTGCTTTTACAGAAAATCATAAATTGTTTCAAATAAGCAATCCTAAACAACTCCTAAGTTATTACAAGTTGTCTTGTATTTTTTTGTCATAAATTTGGAAACATTTTCCAACATGTTTAGCACTATTAACTTTATCAAGTCATGTTTTGCGTAAATCTTACAACGGATTCCAACATTTTAGTACTATTAGCTTCATCGAGTCGTGTTAATATGTAAAAACTAAGTGTAAATCATATCATCGCTAAAATCTTCTCTAATTGAAGCCTCAAAATCGTTTATATTTACGGCTTCTGCCGTATTGCACGGATATACAACTAGTTAAGTATTAAATAGGAGTATAGGATTGAATTAATAATTTTAGTAATTAAAAGTTCAGAACCCAAAAAAAGTAATGATGGCCAAAAACCGGTCCCGGACTGGGCCGATCCCAAGATTTCTCATAACCGGTCCCGGTCCCGGTCCCGCTCGAAAAAGTTGAGTCCGGTCAAGCTTTATTGTAACCGGTTATGGGCCGCCGGTCCCGGTCCTCGTCATTAAAAAATATTTTTTATTTTTATTTTTTAATGATATATATTTTTAATACATTATAAAATTTGTAATTGGGGTACTCAAATACACTTTAAAAATGTGTTTTATTATAATTAAAATTACATTGTCTTACAAAATATAGCAGGAAACCGATAACTGTGAACGTTTTTTTAGCTTTTTTTGCAAATCGAGAACTTGGTATGTAAATCCCTCAACTAAGACACTTATATATAATGTTTAAAAAGCAAAAAATACAAAAAAAAGAGGGCCAAAAACGGCTACATTTATAAAAAATAGTTACATTTTTTAAAAATCGGGCCGGGTCGGTCCCGGTCCCATGAAACACCCCAAATCCATAATCGGTCCTAGATTTCGGTCCTAGTCCCGATCCTCCGGCGGTCCCGGGCCGGGCCGGTTTGGCCATCCCTAAACAAAAGTATCCCATGGGCTATGTCCTGTTCTCTTTCACCCCAATTCCCAAATAATAAGCCCATGACCTGTTCTCTTTACGCGCAAATAATAGTTAAAATGAAGCCCACGATAAAAAAAATGACCTAGAAGAAACAGCCCATGTCCAAAATGGATATGGGCTATTGGGCATACACACAGCATTTGATGCTTGAAATTTCGGGCATTTTGGTCGATTTACAACCATTTCTTCAAGGGGATTTTGACATTATAACATAGGCAAGATAAATACCAACATTTTGATACCAAAATCACTACAATTTCTTAACAAATGAGCTTCAATTTCATCTTCTTCTTAAAACTAGGGTTTTTTTTCCAAGATTCCACCATTATTAATAAGAACTCCAATTTAAGTTTTGAAAAGGTATTATACAAAAATTAAATACTATCATCGTCTTAGGAACATAAAGCCACATAAAACCATATAAAAAATTCAGAGAATAGTTAGGTAGTGTTTGGTACGCAAACTTGATGAGACAGGATGGGACGGTACGGGACGGGACAGGACAGGACAGGATGGGACGGTACGGGACGGGACAGGACAGGACGGGACATGACTAATTGTCTGTCCTATGTTTGGTACGACTAGAACAGAACATGACAAACTATTAAAATGATCTTATTACCCCTAAATGTTGTTCAATGTTATTTTATATTATATAATGATTGTAAAATGACAACAAATCAATCAAAATATTATCATTTTAATTGTAGTCCCATGTTGTTCCAATTTTTTTGGTGAAACAAGAAATATCAAGATATGTCCCACTAAAATTGAAAAAAAATAGTCTCACCTTGTCCCATGTTTTTTTTGTCCATGGCATCCCAAACATGGGACTATATTTTTTGGTCATGTCCCATGTAGAGATTTATACCCTCTGTCAATTGGAGGTTTGAAGCCACGTTTCACCAGCACATGTTCCCAGCAAACACGTACCAATTTAGAAAAGATGAACAGAACACGTATTTCAATTTTATATTGTAATTTACAAATTGGTCCTTAAAGTTTGAGAGATTTTTGGTTCAGACAAAATAACGAAAATAAAAATGACCTGTGATAACCTAAAATACAAATCTAGACTTGTGGACTATTTGAGTATGGAGCAAACCAATTATCATCTTACAACCTAGTTCGAAAGATATTGTGTAAATCTGATATTTTAATTAATAGGTTGAATCTCTTTCGAATTAGTTGTTACGTTCACCACCTTATAAAATTAGTTGAGATGCATATAAACAAGTCTCGAGACCCACGTATAAAAAAAAGATAAGGGTGCATGCAAATCGGGTATCCTTATCTACGCTGGTGGTGTTTTGTTAATTTTATAAGAGAATGATAACGTTGTGTCAAAGTCAACATACTATTTTTATAAAGTAATTTAATTCTTTTCAAAATATTCGTATGAAATCTTTGTCATTAATTCAATTCATTTCAAGAAAAGTAAAAAATATGGTTGTAACAAATATGATGGCCGAGTCTAATTTGCCCCACAAATGTGACACGTTATCGATAAGTTAGATAGGGAAATTAAATGTGTTACAACCATATTAAATAGATATATAATTTTTCTAGAATAAAATTCGTGATATTTATCGTTCTTGTACTAATCTTATACCCAACTAACCTGCTTGTTTGATTCACGAGTTTTCATAAGAGATGTTAATCAAGATATATTTTAGGGGTTGTTTACCAAACGCGTACTCAAGTAAGTGAACACCAAGTCATTTTATCTTACCAGATAAATATGGTAAGGATCAAGAATCTTACCCGGTAAGAGCGAGACAAGGACCAAGAGTCTTACCTGGTAAGTGAAGGCGGCGACTCTTACCATGATAAACGCTTACGGGGTAAATTGTTGCATACGATACCGTTTTGGTAGATTAAAATCTTATATGGTAAGTAAATGACAATGTTAAATTTACCGATAAGCGTTTACCGGGTAAGTGTTTGGTAAACGGCCCCTTAGTATTTGATAAGTGACGGAAACCTTTTAGTATATATATATATATATATATATATATATATATA